AAATATAATTGATGATAAAGCTTTATTTTTGAAAACCTTCAAATGAGACTTAATTTATTATTTCAATATTAATCATGTGGTACCATGCAGTAACGATTTTTAATCATCATCCCATGAAATATTACCTCCTTAGTATAACGATGTTTAATTATCATCCCATGAAATATGATCTCCTTAGTATCTAAAATCGTGAATCGTGATATTATTAACGTTATTTATTTTGCAGTGTACATGTATGATGCTCATGATAACATTACAATATTACATATGTAACACATGAGAGTTTAGAAAATAAACTGTACGAAATTACTGAAGATGCATCATAGGGAACGTTTAGAAAAACTATTAAATAACGTTGATCAGAAAGAATAGATTGCTACGTTTAGTTTTTCTATGAAGCTTATTAATTGTTTTATAATACTAGTATGACATGTTTTTCTTTATACTATCCAGATTTTTTTTTCTAAAAATGCAATGACAAAAACGATGAAGAAAAAATGTAATGTCTTTTATCTAGGCTTAAATAATAACCATGTGTGCTTATTGTAATTAAGAAAATTAGCAGAAATATGAATTGCTGGTTTTCGTATGTATTCTCGTCTAAACTATCAATTAGCTGCAGAACTGTAGCTCTCCGAAAAAAATATATATTGATAGACCGGAGAGCTACAGTGCCACCCATTGAAAAAACTGTATATTTATTGCGCACAAAAAAGTACGCTCGGTTCTGGATTATTTCTTCCAAATTCTTACATCAATTGCAAAAAAGCTAGATTTCAATAAAGATCTTACTCCTCTGCCAATTACCTTCGTAGTTTACATCTGTAAGGTATCACACCGGTAATTGACCAATCAAAATGAACTTAGTCAAATGTAGGTCCATATATATATAATTGATTTTCTTTTCTTTTGAGACGTTTTTCTATTTTCTTTCATGCCATTTTTACAACTTTGGTACCTGTGCCTAGTAAAATTTATGTACTTTGTGAATAAATAAAGGTTTTTGACAGGAACTATTTTTTTCATGGCATAGGAGGCTACTTCCTGTAGTGCACTCGAGGTGTTTATAAACACAGTGAAAACACGTGGATTTGAGGGTAGCCCTGTTTGCAGATGGAAAAAGTCCGAAAATGCCGTGTGGGTACCCTGTTTTTTGATGTCAGCTAATGTGATAATGTGACAGGTAATGTTTAACACCTCCTGCTAAATATTTTTTCATGTAAACAAATACCTGATTTTTAACGATTTTTTATTCTATATAGAATTATATAGTGAAAACAATTACCGGTGTGATACCTTGAAGGTGATTATGAAAAATCATTTTAACCCTTATTTAAGACATTTTTCATTTTTAAAAGGCATATTTCAATAAAATATGTGATTTTATTAACTTTTTGTTTGAAAACACACATTTTTAAAATTAGAATTAGAATTTACATTATTTTTCACAGATTTCTGTGTAAAAATTAACAATAGGTTATTTTTTACACTCAATACTTTAAAATATGACTAAAAAGGTAGCATTATGCATCTAAAATGTGGAAAGAAGTCAGAGAATATTGTTTTTTCATTTTATATGACTTAAAATTATTTGCACCAGCTGACCGCAGTCAATTATAGTGTCTACAGACTTTGCGGTAAAGGGTGTTAAAGCTGATTTTTCAAGAATAGACTAATTCTAGGTTTGCGAATGAATTTTTAGCACAAGCAACAACTGCGATAAAATGTAAACAAGTAAAATATGTTCTCACAGAATGATAATTTCTACAGACACATGATTTATTTTAATTTATTCAGACCTCCAGGAATACATATATCACTGCATTGGAAAAACAGAAATAAAGAAATGAGTCAGATCTGTCTAATAAACTTAATACATAAGCTACATAAGTAAAATTCATTAAGAATTTTTCACAGTAAGGAAGGTTATGACCAAAAAATCCTGAAATACTGTCAGTGTCTGCATGATAATACTTATTCTGAGTTCTAACCATGCATCATACATGTAGTGCAGAATGTCACTTAGCACCATGGCATGCCTCTTGTGGTTCTTAGGACTTTATTCATGCTTTCGCAGCTGACATTCATGTTTTTTCAGTTTGTCGGAGACTGTTTTTTGTTATTTTTTCATTTATATGTTGGTGTTGACTGTCACTTTTGAATTAAGTCTCAGTCAGTGATGCTTATATGAACATGTTCTATTAAGTATATCATTGTACTGAAATATTAATAAATTCCAAATTTAACTGATGAAGAAATTTGGCATATTTATATAATTAAAATATCAGAATAACTATAATTCAGCTAATAAGGTGTACCTTTCTTCTCAGATCGCTTCCTATAAATTTTATCAGCAGTTTTTTGTACACCCACCCACCTCAAAGAATCATGGAGGATGTCCTGAATCTGGTCTCTGTGATGCATTTTGTCACATAGAAAAGTGTTCAAACTCATAAAAATGTTTGATATTTATATTTTAAAATTTAAATGTTTATTTTTTTATGTAAATTTGTTCAAACAAAAAGATATAATCTTGCATAAATCATGGAAATTCATTAAATACCTTTGGAATTCCTGAGTAAATCCATGAAAAGAGAATAATTATGCATGTTAAATTGAAATTTCATGGCTAATTTGTGTCTTAAGAGAAAGCCAGTTGCATAAATCACAACAATAAATTACATCTGAATTGTTGTCTCCAGTTTCTTATCATCAAAGCCAGTTTAATGGAGTGTGGGAGCTGTGAAGAACCTCCCTAGATGCTGATATCATTTTGACTGCCCTGAGTTACAACACAGCATTTAGATAAACTTCTGCACAGCAGCTTGTAGACACATACCTAGGCTTTATTTGGAACATAAATTGACCAGATACAGTTTTCATTATCAACCTAGTATTTAACAATTTCTGTATTTTTGTTCATTCTTTGAAGGGGAAAATGTAACTTTGTTATGTAATAATTACATAATGATCTTAGACTTGTAAACTCTTTTCTGTTTGTCGTGAAGAACAAAGCATATGCTCTCCACAGATAAAAAATTGGTTGCCAAGCTTATTCTTTTAATAATGAAATTCTGGTTCAAAAGATGCACAAAAAACTGCTTCTAAAGTGCTCTGTGTGTTATTCTTGACTGCTCTGGAGTAAGGGAGATAAATGCTTCATATCTTCAGAAATAAGGGGATATAGATCACCAGACTTAAGGATGTTGGGGACAATTATTTAATGAATCTCAGGTGCAAAAATGGAAAAAATCGAACACCTTCAAAGGTCCTTCAAGGTATCACACCGGTAATTCACCAATCAAAATGAACTTAGTCAAATGTAGGTCCATATATATATAATTGATTTTCTTTTCTTTTGAGACGTTTTTCTATTTTCTTTCATGCCATTTTTACAACTTTGGTACCTGTGCCTAGTAAAATTTATGTACTTTGTGAATAAATAAAGGTTTTTGACGGGAACTATTTTTTTCATGGCATAGGAGGCTACTTCCTGTAGTGCACTCGAGGTGTTTATAAACACAGTGAAAACACGTGGATTTGAGGGTAGCCCTGTTTGCAGATGGAAAAAGTCCGAAAATGCCGTGTGGGTACCCTGTTTTTTGATGTCAGCTAATGTGACAGGTAATGTTTAACACCTCCTGCTAAATATTTTTTCATGTAAACAAATACCTGATTTTTAACGATTTTTTATTCTATATAGAATTATATAGTGAAAACAATTACCGGTGTGATACCTTGTACGAAGCGCGTTGGACCGAATTATCTTGCAAACCAAAATGGCAGTATAAATAGGCGAAATTTTCGATGATCTCAATTTCAGGGCCAGGAGGGCTATTAAAAACAATTATAAGGAATGTTTTGTTGTGGAAACAGTGAAAGAATATGTTAAGAATACACGGTTAGTGATGTTTTGAGATGGCAGTTTTAAAACCATGGAGAAATAAAGCGAGAAACAGCGCACTTTTTTGTGCGCAATAAATATACAGTTTTTTCAATATCAATAAATATTTTTTCGGAGAGCTACAGTTCTGCAGCTAAACCATTAATATAACACAACTTAAATTGGTTATGTCGGAGTTAACGAACAGTTTTCAAGCTTATCAAACAATACATTTTTTGGAGCAGAACATAGAAGGATTCATGAATACATATCTAAATATCGAGTTGATACCTTATTACTTTAGACATACATGTATATACAATGTTTTAATATAAAATAAAATGGAAATAAAATGGAAATAAACAAGAACATTTTTATGACAAGAATTTAAACACAATGATTGTATTTCGACATCTTGAATTTTTAAAGTGTTGTTTTCGTTACTATGTCAATTAAAAGATGTTTAACCATATCCGGATATTCTGTGGTATGTTGGATATAAGGATTTAATCTGCTCTAAAGAGTACAAAATATCAATGATCACTTTTTTGATGAGCAAATTTTTATAGAAGGAAAAATAATCAATTCATAAAATAAGTATTTATTTGTCTATAAATTATGTAAATCAACCAATTTATTTTGAATTTCCTGTGGGCACACATATATTTAATCAAGAAAAGGGAAGATACATCAACTCTGCCTTTTAAAATATTCCATTCATTCTATATCGAAATTGAGATAATGAGACTTGACCCTTGATACAAGGAAATTCTGCCTTCATTTAAATCCTCTTTATGTGAAAGAAATCATTATAATAAAAGCTTCTGTTGTAACTAATAATTTATTACATGTTGTTTAATTCATTATCATCAATAAATTTTATGATTGACATGTGAAGGAATCTGTTTTACATTAATTAAGAAACTGTGGTCGACTTAATCATCAAATGTGTAGCAAATAAAAATAGCGAATCTCAAGGTAGCAATGTTAAATGAACCAATCAAATGTCTTAGAAACGGTTGTGATATGCAAATTCTTGTATGTGACAAGTATAAAAGGAACATAGATCTCTCTATATTAGCAGTATATTTTGGAACATTTTACTTGCCAGGAACTGACTAAAAATGAAAGTTGCGTATTCAGCCTCTCATCTGAATGAGTGTATAGGTAATAGTGATATCGCTTCACTACAGAACTTCCTAAAATCAGGCGCCGATGTTAACATTCTGGATGAAAACGGAGAACCTCTGTTATTTACCCCCATCGTTAATGGTGATATGGATACTCTTAAGGTTCTCCTGGCCTACGCTGACGTCAACATGACAAATGAAGATTGCAGAACGGCTCTGATGATTGCAGTTGAAATGAATGATCTTGACATCATTAAAAAGTTAATCAAATCAGGTAAGATGAATTGAATATTAAAAAATAAGCGATGCACTAATTTTAAATTAGTTCATTACTGATATTGAAAAAAATGTATTTAAATTCCCTTCCTTTTGTTCACAGGTGCACGAGTAGATTGTAAAGACAATTCTGGAAAAACCGCTATGTTATTAGCTCTGGAAGCTGGGCAGTTTAAAATTGCAGAATACTTGATAAAATACGGAAGTGACGTCAATGCAGTGGATAACCTTGGCCAATCTGCGCTTCACCTCACTGCAACAAGAGAGAATAATGAATGTACCAGAATCGTTAAAATACTGTTTAACTGTGGATACGTTATGAAGGAAGCTGACAGTTGGCTGTGTTATGACGACTTCTCATTTAATCAAAAAACGGAATCAAAATATTCTAAGCTGGTCCATAAATTGAAGGCATCCATAAAGGTTATTAAGGGAGAGGCATCATGAGTCTGAAGGAGTCTTTTCACCATTCTGTACCTTTGCAGATGAGATTCAACTCTATGCTTGACGAAGAAAATTCAGGTCAAGGAAAATGGGCAGATTCCTTTGTACATGTACATCATTATCGTTGAACATAGAAAACAAAAATGAATGAACAATTCCAATTTGACACAGAGGTTGAAAAAAGTCGCATTCTGTCGTCAATCTACAGATACTTTCGTGACGATTTTGCAAAGTGATATTTCTAATACTCGCTTTCAAAACAACGGCTAATGATAGTGTCTGACAATGTTGCCTAAGTAGTGCATTTGAAACATAACTGTTTTTCTACTATCTAGCAATATAACATTTGTAAGACATTGAATTTTCATTATTGTTCGATGTGCCAGTCTGAGATATGTTCAAAGCATGACCATTTTGACGAAGGTCAAAATGTTGTATCAGCGTGTAAATTGTGAAACAAAATATCATTGAAAATAAATTTACAATACACTTGTATATGTATTTAATCTTCTTCTTAATGAAGTATATGCTTGTTTAAGCCCCCATCCCGAATCATCCACACTAATCCCGGAAAAAAAATTCTGATCTTGTGTTCTGCCATCAGCTCTATCAGGCAATGGAAAAATATATTAAGTATTATAGTTTACCTCAATGCTGAAATGAAGTTTAAATTTGATATTTTTTTTCAATTTTGCCCACTTATTCTTTTTAATAACCCCGATCTTATATTCAAAACATATAAAAATGTATTCTTTAGTCAATGTTAATTAACACATATTGTAGATGTCAGATGTCAGTTTTGTCCATATAATAATGATTATTTATTCATCTAAAAAGGAAGAGTTGCAAGTAGACTTAGAATATTTCCTTCAATATCAGTTGGGGCGATCAATGGCAGCATGGGACAATAAGAGAAGAAACAAGTAAGAAGAGTGATGTGGTATACATAATCTATTTTGGTATTCTGATATTAAAATAGACTCAGAAACTTGATTAATGTTTTTTATTGTGTAAAAATCTGACAAATGCTTTTAAGGAATTTCCAATATTTAACATTCTAATTCACTTGACAAGAAATTGAACGATTTCAAATAGATATAGCATCTTTGACTGTTTTGATTAACAACGTCATATATGAAAACTTTTCACTTAAAATATATTCAAGTTCGCTGGAAAAAATCCTTTCGAAGTGTTTTCAATGTTTCCTAAATTTGTGATTTTCAACCTATATTAGCGAATATTTTAGCATGAAATATATTAAGATACCGAAAAGTCTAATAGCTCAAAGTCAATTAAACAATAAAAAAATTCAAGTAATAAAAAATAAAAAGTTTAATTTTATATAGGGAATTATTTACAAGTTTTTTTTCTACGAATCTAAAATATATAAAACGCTCTCATTGATTACACTGTCTGGTCCTGGTGTTGAAAATATTAATATGCCATCTGAGGAAAAAAATATTATATGAAACGTAAAAACGATCAAAACCAATATCATGGGCAATGTGAGCATCATCTCGTATTTTTAACGATCAATTCTTGACCAAAGAAAACCAGAAAACCAGTGCTATATTTTTTCAGATTTATTTAATGAATAAATTTTTGTTTGTTTCATAAACATTTGTAAGTGCAGTTTGTTGTAAAAAAATTGATTTCTTATTAGATAATTAATTTTACTTGTCTGCATAAAAAATTTTTTTTTTAAACGCATTGTTAAACACAAGCACATGTAGGATAATGTGGTGTATTAATACATATAAGTAAATTTAATATGATAACATTTCATTTGAAAAGATTATCAAAACGTTTTCAAAGATGTCCCCAGTACAATATATTTATGAGTTAATGTTTTAGATTTTGGAATATTCCAAACATTCAATTAAGAATCATTAATTGGTGATAGGTTTTCAAAGGTACTTTGTGCGATTTATTTCATTACATCCATCCTTTATGTTTATTACTAAATTATTTTTTTAATCAATGATGAGGGAAAGACACCGGTTTGTTCATATAGGTCTATTCTTTTTTTTGTTGATGGCGTTGTTTTTGAAAATGACTATTTATGACTTAGAAAATTGAAACATGCATGATTCTATTATATAAATGACCTGTCTTTGTGCTTTGAAAAATCGAGTATTTTTGTATTTTTTTTTTTTAGATGCAATTGATTCTTAATTAACAAAATAGATTCCAGCTTGTAGAAAAATAACGCAAACACGTGATTCACTTAATATCGTGAAAAAGTAATTGTCTTTCTGCCAAATTTTATACAATTATAAATAATTTGTATGTACTTTTAACATATGCAAATTTTACTGATAAAATACAAAAAAGAGGAAATTTCTATTCATACAAATGATTTACTGAACACGTAGGAAGAAATTAATTCTTTCTAGTCCAGGAATCCTAAAACAAACCAAACCACTCTTTCTCATAAATAACTCATCTCCTTGGTTCTGTGATGGCCTATAAAAACCTTAGAATACAGTGAATACGAGTAAGTTAATACTCTTAAACATATGGAGAAAACCCCTAAAAAATATATAAGGGATATGAACTCTTATTTTTTAAAAAATACACCTTCACACAAAGAAACGATATTCATATTGAGTTTTATTCAATTCATATTTTTGCTTTGCCTAAGCGTAGTTAAATATTTTACAATAAAGAATTTAATAATCCTCCAATAAGTTGCTCATAACGAGAGACAGTGATTGCAAACCGTGTCCATGTTCAAGGTCAAATAAATAATACCAATGATAAGCAGTTCTAAAAACAGGAGATTTGGGATCAGGGGTCAGGGAGGATTCAGCACTGATTCTGGTAGGCCACACCCTGTGTCCCACTTATGATAAGCTAAAAAAAAAATAGCACAGGATAGTAAAGGTGCATCATGGATGTACAGGATAATTTTGTGATAATAAACCGTATTTATCAGGAAGGACAGACCCTTGTTATATTGGACAAACGATAGTTCAAACTACATATATCAAAGATGATGAGATTACATGTATCTATTTGGATTTGTCTATTAATCATGTATTGATGTCTCTTCACATTTCAATATCGCAAGACACAGCAACTTAAAATTTCAAGTTGAATTTAAAATATTTTTCAGCGCAATTATCAGTTGATAAATATGTAATATTATATAAATTCTATATTCTGTTAAAAACTGTTGGGACGCTCTTTATGATCTTTTGAAGCTGGTCTGTTAATGTTATTCATATGAAGTAGAATGTATTAAAAACAAAAAAATAGTTATCTTTGAGCCCACTTTTGACTGTAATATTTTTCTAATAACTAAATTAAATTACTGTAAAATTTGTTGACTTGAATCTTAGAAAGCACAAATAACAAACTCAGGAAAGAACAAAGTTGGACAGAAAATTGTTGGGGATAGGTTTTTGTAAAGTTATTGAACAAGCATATATTTTCCTCAAATGTAAATCATTTGTTCGGCTTTGAACAAACGTTTTATAAGCAAGGCAGATTAATTACAAA